ACTTCAGTGCGTCTTACTATTTTTTTGACTAGTCATAGATTTTAATTCTCAATCCGATATCAGACATTTTAATTTACTGTTTATCTCTTGAGCGCTCAGGCATGCTATATCCAAGTCCCTTATCTTAAATAGTTTTCATTTACATCATCATTGCCTTCATTGGTTTATTCCAAATAAAGCCATCTCATCCAAGCACTTATATTAAAGAGAATAATTTAAAACTACGCAAAACCCCGTAAGTTGACTTTGGCTTACCATCTTGCCTCATAGTTGCCATATGTTGACTTTTCAGTGTTGACATATTACTGCCTGTGACGGGAGTGTGGGAGTGCGACGGCATGGAGACAGTAGGCAACGCTGTCAACTTCACAGTTGACGGCAACACGGCAACTTTTACTGTCAACAGCTCGCCGTACTGCATCAAGGCTTTCAGGATCAGCTTCTAAAAACCTTCGCGTCAACTTCTTGTCACGCTTGTAGCGGTAGAAAAATTCTGCTGAAAATGATAATTTTTTTGAAATTCAGACAAACAAATTAACTGACAAATAAATTTTCCCGAATGAAGCTACACTCATGTGCTTGATGAAATAATTTTATTAATTATATATGTTTATGGCTTCATGTACCTATGCCTCAGTGTTGGTTTTATAGTTTGATTTTTTAAGGTATATTCCGGTAAGAATATTATTATTTTTAATTGATGATCTGGGAATAAGAGGAATTCTACTTTCCTTGCAGAGATTCAATTAAGAAAAATAGCAGTGGAATTACAGGGACAATATCCAGTAACTTAGCTGCGTCTAGTGGAATTTGCTGAAAATATTCACTTTATAGCCTGTGTTGATGCCAGAAGAGTTTAAACAGTCCTCGGTCACCGCTAGTTAGATGTATTCCAAACAGTTTCCGTATTTCTTGTTAGTATATCCCAATATAAATATACCTTATGTTTATCATTATTATTGAAAATCTACTCGCAGTTACGCATTTTTTGCTTATCCATAATTAAAACTGTTTTGAGAATAGGATATTGCACAAATGCGCTCCATGTTTACTTATCATGAAAATACCATAATATTCTCACTAATCTCAGACATACGAAGCGTTAGTCAAAATATGGAGTAAATCTCGCAAATCATCATTCAGACGTCTATAAAATTTACAATGAAAAGATAATTTAAATATTAAAAATCTATGGATTACTACAATAATAGCCATCTATAGATTAATATAATAATAGTAATCCATGGATTACTATACATCAGAGCTTATGACATGGGTTCATTCAATCGCTATATATACCGCCGACTTTACACATCAGTGCACCCTGGATAAAACTCTACGGATTTCGAAGCTAACATTTAATTATACCTATTCAAATTTGCTAATTATAATTATAAACTGATAATTATAACACTGATTAATTATTAATACATTTGTTGATTATGATATTTCTTCAAGAGAGGTATGAGATTTCACAAATAATAATTTATATATATTAATTGATTTATGAATGTGCTCGTTGTAATTTCATATGAAATTCGCGAACGATATTTTAATTAATCTAATAATATGTTCTATACATACATAGATCAAAAATCAAGAAATAAACATTTATAAATTCAAGGAGTTTTTAACCTAATTAGTTTCTGCACTCATTGCGATCTAAGTTTTTTCAATTAAATGAGAATAACGCGTAGAAATTTTCACTATAAGTCAAATTTTGTTTAAGCATATTCTGGTTGTGCTTATTTTTTGAAGCAACTTTGCACTTTACAAATTTCGCGGTTTTCTAATAAATTTGTCAGTTCAGATAATCGCAATCAGTAGCATTTGATCTTACTTTGCAACCTAAAAAGTTGCACTTAAACGTGCTCGAGACGACATTAGATGGAATACGATGGTCAATCTCAAAAGGCAATTAAGAGGTGTTGTCAACAGTTAATTGAAAACGGAAGAATGAACACAGTTGAGAAGTAAACTTTGAAATAAATTAGGACTTCTAGGTGTTTTCCCAATCTGACATGCCTTGTATAAGATTCACTAATCAGGAGGTCTGTACGAAAATGACGAATATAACCTACGAACTATTCCCTTCACGCAATTTCTCGTGGTGACCAAGTACCAATGTTTTCCCCACAATAATGAAAAATGGTGGACTGTTTACTCTAGGAAACGTATCACCCTAGTAGATAGCTTGTTTTAATAGTGGAATTACCCTAGTAGTAGAATACCTAAGCAGACGTATTACCGTCGTGTGATTCTTTCTTTTCGAAACATTTTTGATGTACTCGTTTGTTTAGGAATACATTCATTAATATGAGGCGATAAAGCTCTGTTTCATTTTAATAATTTATTCTTGACAATGAGCACTAACTAGATCACGCTTCCGACATTATTTTCTCGGAAACGGGCGTCTTATGAATTAATCAGTCTTTATACGGTTAATGTCTTCACAAATATGGTAGAATTCAGCCGTATTATCAGTTTGGGATTTTAAGAAAGGATGCACTGAGTTTATATATCGAGCTCCTGAATTTCGTAGGTCCGCCTTCGGCAAGAGGCCCTTCGCTGCCGCCTCTGTAACTCTGAGCGATGCAAACGACCGGATCTGTTGTCCGCAATAACCTGGTAACCGGTTATTTACCTGCTTCCTTGCAGGGTTTCTTCGTCAGAAAACGCACTTCTATATTTTGCCAGACCTTTACTACCTCGAAGTATACCTTGTGACGTGCAGCTGTTTTCATGCTAAAAATAAAATCAAAATTTATTCTTAAGAAGACATATTAATGTCACTCGATTGCTCGAATCGCAGATTAATAAAATTTAATAATAAGACAGCGAAGAATGAGCCACACAAATTCACCATATCTTTACAGAAAACTTACGATAGAGCTGGACCCCGGAAAGCTTTTTACAAAGGAATGGTGAATTTTTATAAGTTATAATTTGCTTTTAAAAAGAAATAACAGCGTGACAGGTTGCGACGTCTCGGTTGACAGGTTACTACAGGTTGCACCAAGCACATGCAGCGTCACAACTAAAGGCAGGGGCTTGTCACGCTCGCGCTAAGAACTCATGCCAGCTACTGAGCAGGGTAAATTAAGTAGGGTAAAAAAAGTAAATTAAACTATTATTTAAATTAATTTATTGTAAATTAAGTTTGAACGAGGTTGACCAAAAAAAGCCAATGGTGGCCTGTCCAGCCGCTGATTTAGTGTGTCATTTGATCCGTATATTTTTTACCATGAAACTACCCAAAATAGCTCCTATTGGGCGGCTGAATTGGGAAGGCGGCCATTTCACACGTGATTCTTCGAATGGCTGCCGAAAGGCGAGCAACAGCTGCTTCTGAATTTTGACAGGTTATGGCTAAGCGTGGGGAGAACTCTGCAGGGTGATTGGGTATGGCTAAGCGTGGGGAGAACTCTGCAGGGTGACTGGGTGTGGCTAAGAGTGGGGGGAACACTGCAGAGTGTCTTAGTATGGCTAAGCGTGGGAGGGGGAACACTGCAGGGTGACTGGGTATGGCTAAGCGTGGGGGAACACTGCAGGGTGACTGGGTATGGCTAAGCGTGGGGGAACAGTGCAGGGTGACAGGGTATGGCTGGGTATATCACTTGAAGGGTATCATCTCCTGAAGTTATATTGCATTGAAGAAGATTCAATTTGGTTGATTTAAAATAATAAAATGATTCTGTCAGGAAATTATTCCGTGCTCTTTAAACAAACCTCGCGCCGATTTTATTTTATTGAAGTAACTTTTTATACTCGCAAATGCTTCCAATCTAAACATTCAATTCGTAAATCAATGAATTTATTTTAAATTATGTTTGAACGAGGTTGACTAAGTTGAAAAATTTATTAAATTTTATGTTATCTAGAAACTAATCAATATTGAATATGATTATATATGATGACACAGTTAATCTTTCCCTTATCATGTTGTTTTATAGATAAATAATTAAGCACTAAACTCGATGCTAGGAAAATATTAGCTATTATAGATGGAATATAATGCGTTTTCCGATTGAAACTTAATGCGTTTAATAAATAATATGAATATAATGCGTTTTCCGCTTGAAACGCAATTTCTCCAAATCCAAATAGGTATTATCTCACTCGAGGATTTCATTAGCATTGTTTCCCAACTAAAGTTCCCAAGTTATCAAAGGGATCATTGTTGCCTGGGTAATTAGAAAACACAATGGGATACATTTATTCATACATATATAGCTTTAAATTGTTCTAAAATAAGCGGATGAATGCATTCCTCTGTCCCATTAATAGTGCCTCTATGCTCTAGTTAACATATTTGCCTCGTGTTTAAGGTGGTAAATGTTATAGAATATTATTTAAATACCATGCTCACTTGGAATCGTCAACAAGGTTGGGTATTATTCTCACTGTTCAGTACAGTGGGAACTGAAGCCACAGCGTTTTGTGGTATCATTCTCGCTGAAATATCAATATTATTCATCGGCTGTAACATCTTTTCAAGATGGCAATGTTTGGAAATTTTTTTCCATAAAATATTTCCATGACACTAATGCAAGAACAGACTTAATTAATTTACGTCGTAGACTAGTAGTCCATGACTCATCGTTTTCATTATGATGAGAAGCCGACTAACATAACAAATTAATCTCAGTACTTATATTATCAATCTGCTTATATCGCAAGTTCACAAGGAATTTAAAAACAAAGAAAACGCCAAGCAAATTCACCATATCGGTATATTGAAAACGGGAAAATTAATCTCGTCATCAGCTGACACGTTATAGATTAGATATTGACTCTCCGATTAAACTATCACTCTTGGTTACTAAAAAACACCTATTATGAAGCGTGCAGCAATTAGATAAGTGCAATCACTTACGGTACGCATGAGCAACGAGTATTTATACGAGGCAATGGCGGGACAGTGAACATTTCTAGACGAGACACAAACTTTGCTTGTGCTTTACGCCTTTCAATAAATATTGAAACCCAAACTTCTGTGTCTGATAATAACTCTCGCGGTCGATAAATTACTTGGTAAGATTCCTCCGTGGTACAGCAGTAAAGTTATACTGCATTTCTATAGGCGGATAGCAAGATAATAAGTCGTACGTGGTTCAATGAATGTATTTCACATGGAAGTCGAATTAGTAGATATCTTTAGCAAGAATTTTTTTAACTCAGGCAAAAGAAACGGTAAACTTTGAATTGTTTGAATGAAAATTAAGGTCTTCCTGAAGTGATTGGTCTTCAAAATTCATTCATATTTCCTTTTATGCTTAAACTCTATGTAGCGAAGGTCGTCCTCAAGTTTATTTCGCTAATCAATTTGCTGTTCCGTATATTTTGCAAATGTCATTTAATATTGTGGTATAGAAGCAGGAAAGCTGGGGAGTATAATAAGAAAATACAATAACATTCACTATTCCCGGAATAGAAATTTATTTACTGGAATTCATTTAAAAGGACGTACTTTGATACTGAATACCTAATTCATTCTACTTGATTCAACTGGCATAAATGCGCATAAACGCGGGTGCTCAGTACATAGTATAATTAATAACTACACAAGCACTGAGTAAATTGTGATGACTTTTGAATTGGTGCCCCCAGACAGACATGACGGACCCTGGTGTGATGGCGCCGCTGCGCAAGGACCGCAAGGCGACGCTGCCACGCATCCAAAACTTCATCTCGTCGCGGCGCTTCAAAGACGTGAACCTCGTGACGCGACTGTACCCCGACTCGCGAACTGCCAGTGAGGCGGCGTTAGGCTGAGGCATGAATGTCGAGTGACGCGACTGTACCCCGACGCACGAACTGCGAGTGAGGCGGCGTTTGGCTGAGGCATGAATGTCGAGTAACGCGACTGTACCCCGACGTAAGAACTGCGAGTGAGGCGGCGTTTGACTGAGGCATGTGTGTCGAGTGACGCGACTGTACCCCGATGCGCGAACTGCGAGTGGGGCGGCGTTTGGCTGAGGCATGAGTGTCGAGTGACGCGACTGTACCTCGATGCGTGAACTGCCAGAGGGGCGGCGTTAAGCTGAGGCACGAGTTTCGAGTGACGCGACTGTACCACGATGCGCGAACTGCGAGTGAGGCGGCGTTTGCCTGCGGCATGAGTGTCAAGTAACGCGACTGTACCTCGATGCGTGAACTACCAGTGGGGCGGCGTTTGGCTGAGGCATGAGTGTCGAGGGACGTGACTGTGATGATGAGTGATGAGTGTCAAGTGATGCCGAATTTGGTTTAGGTAAACACAGTAACTAACAAGCTAACTCTTGTAACTCATTCTTCGCAAATAATTACTAATTTGTTCGCGCTTCTTCATAAGCTACTGTGGTAGTGACTCGGGAACAGCGTCGAGGAAAAAAGACTTTACTAGGTTTAATAGAATTCTATATATCATTATATATTGAGCCGTCGAACATATAATTATTCTGCGAGTTGACAGTTTCGATCGCAAGCTTGCAACTTCGGTTGGAAATTCCGTGACTGTGGCAGCAAAGCTTAACCGGGAGTTCGGTTCTCGAAACTTAACGCCAAAGAGAATCAGTAAGAAATATGGTCAAGAATATTAAAGTAAGGAAGTGACTGGTCACAGACTATTATTCCTAGAGTCAGCTTACTTTTTGCCTGTAGTTCATTGTAGAACAATGTATATACTCTGCAATCTCCTATTTAGTATGAGGCCTTTGGTACACCAGGACGAGCTGTTATTCCAGTGCGAATTTTTGATGAGTGCGATATTCAACAGAGTTCATCTCAAGCGCGCCGGTATTCATCAAACTATTGTCCTCTTCTCGCAAGAATGCGCCGTTATCCTAGATTTCTTGTGCAATTACACCAGCATGCAAAATGCAATTTGGGATGCATCAGTACTCCTCAAGCCTTCGCCATTCTGCTCTCATCTGTCTGACATTCACCATTGTTTCTTATTATTATTATTATTATTATTATTCTTTTTCTTCTTCTTCTTTGTGGTACTGTGGATACTCCAAATTGAATGAAATATCCACTATTCGCGGCTGTGCACACGCACACGACAGCAAAAGGTCTTGACGAAAGCTAGTTTGGAGGGTTTCATGCAGGTAGGATGACTGTCAAGTGTACTGCCTTCAGGCAGCCTTATACGGCTGAGAAAAAAGCAGGAAGAGATGTTGCTGACACGAGCGGCACGCAGGGAGTTCCATATTCCTACGGTCTAAGACAAGAAGGAGTGCAGGCGGACTTTAGTGTTACTGCGTGTGACTTGCAGTTTCTGTTTGTGCCCCTTTTTGTGCTTGTGGCTGGTTTGCACAGAACCGACTGAGGTTGGATATCAGCTATATATAGGCGATGCAACATTCTGTACAGAATTCAAGCCTTGTCTGCCGTTCTCCTCATATGGAGCTGGTCCAACTAGAGCCTGGCCACCATCTCCGTGACATTGGATGTGGGGCTCAAGTCACATAGGACTCTGCAGGCCGCTCTACGTTCTACCATCTCAAGGGTGGTCCTTAGGTGCTATAGATGCGGATCCCTGACCGGTGATGCATATTCCAGCACAGACCGTACGATGCCTTTTTAGCAATGAGCTTGGAATTGAGTTTGGCATCCCTTGAGATTTCTGTAGGCAACCGCACAGGATCGATTGGCTTTGGCTGCAGTTGCATCGACGTGTTTCCCCCAGTGCAGGGTTTCTGATATTTCAACACCGAGATACTTGGCACTGAAAAATTGCAGCAGCCACTACACTTGCGAAAAATTAGAAGTGGGCCCTCTGCTCCTCTTCTTCGTGATTGACAGTAGGTTGTATTTGCCAACGTTGATGGCCATCTGGCACTTCCGCTCATACACTTCCAGCTTGCCCAGGTCGTCTTGAAGACGTTGCGCGTCGAGCTTGGATCTGATGTGGGAGTACTGGAGCGTATCATCGGCAAAAATTCTGTTTCTGGCGATGATTCCTTTTCCGCGGTATCAGAAACAAGGTCAGTCCGAACACTAAGCCCTGAGGAACGCCAGAAAGCATATACCCTCCAAGACCACTTGCTGCGTTCATCCAAAAAAGAAGTTGCGATCCATTGCTTGACCCTTAATCGAATGCCACTAGTCAAGCTTCGATAGGAGTCGCCGGTAGGGCACTTAGTCGAAAGCTTTGGACGAAGGTGTCAGGCATGACGATGAAGGTTTTATCCTTCATTCATGAAGTTTTCTGTCGTTCATGCCATTTTCCTTCCGTTCAAGTTTTTTCTCGTCATTCTACAGCCCAGAACATTCACCATCATTTCCCGAGCTCTCGGACATAATTTTTAACCCCCAGCTCTGTCGTACTGGTCGGTGCCGGGGGGCGAAGGGGCCTGGGTGAACTACCCCTTCTCTGAGGTTATTAACCAGAGTTTCACTCCCACTGCTCTGGGTGCGTCATTTGGACCCACCTGGTCCACCACCTGGTTCAAGGTAGAGCTCCAGATACCGTCCACCTGGCAGGGACGCCACCTCCACTTCAGGTGGAACTCCGACTCTGAGGCGACTTTGTGGAGCGTGGACGGCAAGGTGCTGCAGGTGAGGGGTGGCAGTGTGCTGCAGGTGAGGGGGATGGCAGGGTATCGCAGGTGAGGGTGATGGTATGCTAATGGAGTTTAGTTAACATATAAGAGTGGTAAGGTATTATATGAGCGGTAATGCAAGGAATGCTGCTCTGTGAAGTCGCCACTCCTTCGTCATGTGATTGAATCAAGCGTCTTGTGGTCGTCCGGCGTGTGAAGTCATTAAGCAGGCTGTACGAACTGCGTGCGTATCACTTCAACATTGGTCGTCATGGTTGTGTTGCGACAGTATAATTAAGTGGGTGGATAACTCTCAACGAATCAGTTCTTCGAGACCCACGACCGCACGAAAAGCTGTACGAGCCACGGAAAACATCGAACGTCGAGGGCTGATTTAAATCATTTGAGGTACACATTCTATTCTTTTTCGAATTGTGCGGGGAGAATGCAGATATGGTATCACCTCCTCGTGCAGTTCATGGCCTCACGTAACCAGTTAAAATTATATGCACCCACTTTATTATCGTGTTGAACTTCACAACGCCACCGTAACGGGCGCTCTTGAAATGATTCCTGAAACGTCTTCATTTTACTTTCCTAACGGCCTATTTCAATTGACGTCCTGAACACAAACACATGATCCTTTATTGACCACTTTTCCACTGCTCGTGAAACGGCTACTCTGCACAAATACCTACCTATCCCCACTCTTTAATCACATAGTTATCTCAACGATACGCAGCGTACCTCTCAAATCATCCATACTTCCCTTCAGGAACCTGTATTTTAACCGATAAAATATCTTTCAGGATAACCCGTATTCTCTGCCTAGGGTCTGTCGTCAACAATAGACAACCAAGTGCGCACAGACTACCTAATCACAAACAACTACGACGGCAGCTCACCTATGCTCACCTACTACGTCGAGATGGCGGGCAGTCGCATAAAAGGCACCTACACCGACGACCTCATTGGTGAGTACCTGCAGTACTGGTACCTACGACCTCGTTGATAAGTACCTACAGTGCCTACCATCACGACCAGTTGGGTAAGTCATACCTAAACTACGAAGAGGACAGCAAATGAATCATGTCGAGCAATGTGGCGTTTCTTGATAAGAATTGCATTAGAATTGTTTATTTCTATGATGAATAAAGTGTATCCCGGCCAATTTTGCGTTGCTGCTGCCTACAGATCCTCCACCCCCCGACATGATGTTCACGCTAAGCGAGACCAAGCGTAAGGTGGGGCGGTCCTTCGCCAACCAACTCGCGCTCATGGACCAGTACCCTGACTACATCTTCGTCGCGTCACAGGTAAATAGGGTACTGTTTATAATATAGGGAAATTTCTTTGGTATATGTAATGAAATGAAAGTAATATAATTATTTGACATATATTTGTATTGCGCTCACGGACCAGTACCCTGACTTCATCTTCGTTGCGTCACAGGTAACGTGGGTCCCGAAAACCGTATTACAACTGTCATAATAGCGTTCATCTTTTTCTGTTTCGTACTATTAGCAAATACTAATTAATCATAGGTACATTCTGCGACATGGGTACATTCCGAGACAGTAATTGTGCGACATTATGTCGCACAATATGCCAAAAATGTCACACTTTTGTCGAAAGTATGACTAACGTTTTGATCGAACAATTCCGAACAGTTTTGATCGAACGATTCATATATGTATAAATGTATATGCATGAGTAGGGGTATTGTGCGACAGGTTTCATCTAATTCCCCGAAAACCGTGTCGCGGAATTGTTCGATCAAAACGTTACTCCTGAAAAGGTTTTGGCACTTTTAAAAGTTTCAGGAGTATGGCATTGATGATTAGTTGGCAATAATTATGATTAGTTGGCATTTTTAAACCCTATTAAAATAAAAAAAACTTTACCTGGCTAAACCTAACCTCAGTAGGGTTAGTCATACTCTAAACCAACCCTATTACCGCCCTAAACCTAAGCTAACGAGGTTGGCGTTAAATTGTGTTCATTTTTTCGGTGTCATACAATTGATTACAACTAATCACAGAGAATTGATTACAGCTAATCACCGTCTCACTATTGACCAACTTATAGGTATATGCATAACTACTCATTAGAATTAAATGGCAGAATTGGCCTGTTAATACAAGTTCGATTAATGACCAGAAAACACATTTGATAGCTAATTATTTTCAACGAATTTCGCTGAATGTTGCCGAAGCATTCGAAATGCGTTAATAAATTAAAATTGCTTTCTGAAACATGCCTTTTTGATTTACCAACATCTTTCGAAGAATTGCTCGAATCCCTGAAAATTTTAATCAGAGTCATTTGCTAATCGTCGATCAAATTTTCATGAACTACACATTAAATAGGCAAAAATAATCATATGAGTTCCAGGATCAAGTGAGACAAATACGCCTATGTTTCTTTTAATTTAGCATAGTAGGTTATATTATTTTCTGTCAGTTATAATATTTTCTTCATTATATTTTTACGTCAAGTCTCTCCTCCAAATCAGTTAGTGGGAATATCCCCAGCTGAAGCATCGCACCTTCAATAATAATCCCACTAATAATGCCAACAATAAGCATCGTACCTACACTAATTATGCTTGTTACAGGCGCAGCAGTGGGCCTGGTGCAAGCAGTATTACCCGGAGCTTTTCAACCGCGTCAAGGTGCAGTTTTTATGGAGATTTGATTGATCTTAGATTGAAAAATTTAATTTAATGAAGAAGAGGTGTTCATGATGAATGAATACGCTTTGAGTCAAATATGAGTAATGAACATGCAAAAATGCAGCCTCCGTAATGTGTTTCATTCGCTTGTTGGAATTCATTGCCATGATGCCAACTCTTGATAAAATTTAAAAAAAGACATTCTAGAAACTCTGAAAAAATTTTCAGCGCTTGTTGAGTCTTGAATTGCTCTGCAGAATCTACCGACCTCAGTTCGCAGCTCCGGTGTTTGCAACAAGTTATACTTTTCTGCTTGATCTCACTCCATAAGATCTCAATTAGTCAGTTGTCAAGGATACAAAACTGATTTACACTATTATTTCCTTTATTCCACTCAAATCTATAAGCTCCCCAATATTTCGTTGCTCCAATTCGCTTGTTATTCGCAAATCTTTCAATGTTAAATTTTGCCTTCGTTAAAATCTATTTCGATTCGGTTGAACAGTTTCTGGCGGTAAACGAGCTACAAAAACGTGTTGCACTCGAAAATTTAGAGCTCACAAATAAATGTTCGACTTCCCAAATATATAACATAATATAGACTCTAAAAACTCCAGAAGCACAAACTATTTAAATCCCACACCGCTCATCGGACCCGCATTTTTAAGGGTATTGACGGATTGGCAATCTTCTCGAGAGCGTAAGCTTTTATTAGAAGCTTACTGCTGCTCATGCATTATGTAGGATCACTTAATTATTTATTAGTACCATTGTTTCATTGTGTAATAAATGGCTAACTAATGCCCTGCCCGCAATACTGAATCTTGTTCAGATTATTTAGAGGACATTTAAACAAAAATAAACAAAATTCGTTGATGATATAAGAAATTAATCAGAATATTTTGAATCATTTCATTCATTTTGAAAGGCTAAACCAAACGGCCTGTGGGCTCGCGTTAGAACGCGCGTCTATGGAACTTCAGGCTTAACGCTAAAACGCTTACCTCAAGCTGATCTCTCCTAATTAAATGTTACTTTACATCAAATGGAAATAGTTTGCCTGAGATGGCCAGCAGCGAATTTTACGTAATTATTTTGAACCAATAAGAAAACAATAATATTTTTGTCAGGCTCGGGTGTCGGAGGGGAGGTTCCTGCCCGTCCATGGGTGGCACGTGGGTGGAAATGGACGGCAACATCCCCAGTGGGGAGAGCTTCGTACGCCAGTTCTTGCACGGCCAAGGATTCTTCAAGAAGGAGCTCGGCGTGACCTGCAAGGAGTTCTGGCTGCCCGACACCTTCGGTTACTCCCCCCAGATCCCCGGCCTCATGAGGGTGAGTGCCATAACCTTCAGCTACTCCCTCCCGATCCCCTGCCTCGTGAGGGTGAGTGCCATAACCTTCAGCTAATCCCCCAGATCCTAGGCCTTATGAGGGAGCGGGTTATGGTGAAATGATGACAAGGCACATGAGACCATTTCATGAGGCTTGGCGGAAATAACGTGCCCTCGGCACCACTCACGCGCTTGAATAGAGTAATATTAATGTCTGCCCGTAGCTGGTAATTTGTAGCAAATGAAGTAATACACAATACAAATTACCATTAAGCCAGGAAAGAATTTTAGTCAGTTTTGTCCTATTTTCCACTATTTACTAATATCGTTCTTTATATTAGCATACCATTTCGTTCTAATGATGCCATGTAGAGGTGAATATTTTTTGCGCCCACTGCCCAAAGGTCTATCTCGCTCCGTGATGCAGTAAACGCCCATTTCTTCCAGCCCAATACATGGGCTATTACTCTTCCTGCCGCAGTTAGTAGCCCTTTACCCGTCCCCAGCACACGGACTTCTTCAGGTCCTCACGAACCAAAAATCCAATGCTCGATCCTCGTACGTTGCTGTTAAAGGACATAAATGACAATCAAACGCCAATATGGGCAACGATGACGATTAGTGTGGGTTGTTGCAGAACGCGGAAGATTCAACCATTCTAAGAATTGAGAGTCGATTTGCCCTAAACAATTTTTACAGATGCGCGGCGTTCTATCTACGGTTGGTTTATCGCTGATAATCGAAGTATGAACTATCGACTCTGGGTTTATCGCTGCAGATCGAAGTAAATGAGAGTAGGCATTCACTTTAAAACGTTGAATTGAATAAACGTTGATATCAGGTTGAAATACTGAACAACCAAACTTAAATGTCAATCAACGTCGAAATGTGACCAACACTAGAAAAGACGTTATTAAAGTATTTTTGCTTTAATGTTGAAAAATCTCGATATTGGTTCGCTGAATGTCTTGCGATTTACCAACCAGGAACTAATATTATCGCACCAACATTGAATAATATACATATATTTAAGTGTACGATTAAAGACCAGAGAATACATTACAATTTTCGAGGAGTCGAACAATCCTTTAGCCTAGTTTTATTTCTCTAGCACGCGAGCTACCGTGGTCAAGGTGGCTAAGGCGTCGCGCGGTCATCAGCGATTCCGTGTTCGAATCCTATACTAGGGTCGAATGGTTCATTCAGCGGAAAATTAAAGGAAAGTGAATGGATGGGATGCAAATAGTATGTCTACATCCAATTAAATGCAACTGGTTGTAATAATATGCCCATGTAATGTAATTGTCCCGATCAATATGTATAATGAGTTCCGGTTGAAACGTTGCATTGTAACGTCAGTACAGCTTTCCAAGAATAACGTTGCTTTACTTTTCATTATAAACCTTTTTTAACGCGATCCCAACGTCGTAATAGGTAGTTATTTTAACGCCTGTTTTGGGAAGTTGTTTGCAAATGCCGTTGTTTGCAAATACCTGTTTGGTGAAGATTCGGCATTTATTGAAGCAGATTAGGAATCGATCAGTGAAAATTCGGGATCGATTTTTGCGCATTAGGCATCGACTACTCTAGATTCGATTTCGTTCGATGCAGATTATTCGACTCAATAAATTATGGGGTGCAGAAACTTCATAGATCTTCACTGAATCGGCATAGAAAGCTCCTCTATAATCGGTGTTGCGCCCCTTAACATTGCCCTCCACGTTTCCCACTCTGAATGGGGTTTCGTCCAGTCGACCGAGCAAGAATCTTCATTAATATTCTTGATCGAACCATATCAATCTTCGTCGATCGATCAAGACCTGTTTGACCGGGACGTTAGTGACGAAGTTTATATTCTTCCTCTCGTCCCCAGCATATGGGGCTGTCGCGGTTCCTGACGCAGAAGATGAGCTGGAGCTTCGTTAACAAGTTCCCCCACCACAACTTCACCTGGCGGGGCATCGACGGGTCTGAGGTCCTCGCGCACTTTCCTCCGGGGGAGAGCTACCACATGGACTGCACGTGAGTTGCTCAGGTTTAGCCTTCTATGATTGATAATTGTTGGCCTGTATTAATAAGAATGTAAAGGGATCATGAGAACAAATTGACGCAAGTGATCCAAGAGAAGCTGGAAATATTCCAATTAGGATTTAGAATTTTTTCAGGCATTGGGTCGAACACTAACACACTTAAACAACTGAGCCTCATCAAGGGCTGTGAGTTAAAAAAGATTTTTCCTAGAAATTCACTTAATATAAGAACAGGAAATTTGAAAATTGAATGAAGGCCGAGTGATTAGTACCCTGACACTACAGGTGTGGCGTAGTTGCAGGTAAGAAAGGCACCAGGTTGCAGGTAAGAAAGGCACAAGGTTGCAAGTAAGGCATCAGGTTGCAGGTAAGGCACCAGGTTGCAGAAAAGGCGCCAGGTTGCAGGTAAGGCACCAGGTTGCATGAAAGGCGCCAGGTTGCAGGTATGGCAACAGGTAGCAGGTAAGGCATCAGGCTGCAGGTAAGACACCAGGTTGCAAGTAAGGCACCAGGTTGCAGGTAAGACACCAGGTTTCAGGTAAGGCACCAGGTTGAAGGTCAGGCATCAGGTTGCAGCTAAGGCTCCAGGCTGCAGCTTAGGCTCCAGGCTGCAAATAAGGCACCAGGTTGCAGGTATAAGGACCGAGGTTGCAGGTTGCCACCTGGTTGCAGGTGGTATAGTTAAAATAAGATTTTATAGCCCCAGGTAGAACGAATTAGCTTCAGTGCATTTTATTAATGGATGAGTAGCCTTCTGGTGACAAGTCAGTGGGTTTATCTGTTGTAGGCAGCATGGAGTTATCAATCGCATCCTATAATACATCCTATTCAAATGACAGGCATGAAGTGAGGAACCATATTGCTAACGAGCTTGAACATGAATGGGAACTTGGTCGACAAGGTATCATTTTCTTGCAATTTTTATGGGGAGGTTCATGATTGTTCTTCCCATATACTAATAACTTACATTAGTTAACCAATCGGATTTTCTACGCATCTTGTCTACTAGTTAAAGTCCATGTGCAGTCTTCAACATCCTTCGCATCACCATCACTTTAACCCTCAAGCCGACAACGCTCTTCATTCCCTTCATCCACCCCTAGCACCTCCTGGATTGGGCCTTCCCTTCCGATTCCTCAATCACACGTTGCAGGATTCTCGCTTCACCGAGAGTAAAGCCAGATTCTCGCTTCTAAAGTCTGATTCTTCTAAAGAATCTTCTGAAGCTTCATCTTCGCAACCACTTTTTCTAAATCTGATAGATGTACACGCTTATCGGGCACCACGCACAATTTCTGGCTCACTATATCATTACTTGCTCATCTGAAAATTTTATATCGGAAAACCGCTTCTTCTACGTAAAGCTTCTTCGCAAACTGTGAGGCAACCGAGGGTAAAACCCTCTCCTCCCCCTT